TAATATGTTATTTGAATTTTGCTCACATGGAATCAAACGTCTATTACTGTAGCAAATTTGTTAAAAATGTTATTTTGTGTGTGTTTCCAGAAAAAGCTGCTAAACACTTTATGATTTTAAATACTGATTCAGGATATACACCTTTAAATTATAATGCTTTTAGAATGAAGTGCAGAATGCTATAAAAATTAAAGTTCTTTATTTAGCTAAAAACAATATTAAAATAATACACACACAAATAAATAAAAATAAAAATAATACCTTTACATACAGAATTTACAGATACTATTTACTTATAAGTTTATTTGTTGTTGATAGTTACTTTTTATTACACTTGGAAAAATTATACTTACATACATATGCTCTTAATATTACACGTATCTGAATATTTAAATGATAATTCCATAACATAATAAGATTCAATCTATATCACAGCAAAGACAATACTTAAATCACAGTTCTTTTTATTAATTAATTTGCATAAGTAAAAACATAAAAATATTATTTAGCTTCAAATCTATAAAATAAGTCCTCTAGTAACAAACATATGACAAACACATATAGTGAAAATAAAGATAAATAAATAAAAATGTTTTGCTTTTTTGTCTAATGTAGTGCAATTCAGTCTATTATATTCAAATTTTATTAAAACATACTGCAGTAATTGAATTTTTTCCATTATACATCAAACAGCTTTATATAGAATGATATTATATTAGTTTTACTTTTAAAACTATTGGGTTGGAGGGAAAGTTCTGTCGTATTTTAAAGAAAATATTTGAATTCATTTATAAAAATATGTGTTTAATATTAATCAATTATATATGCTCCGTTTATTTGTTACAACCTGTTGCCATCTTTCCAGGTAACCTGTAAATTCCTGTTTTGTAGAAGTTCTCATCCATGGAGTTAAAATAGTCAGCAACTGCCTTAGAAAACACTTTCAAAAGACTTGAATTTTTTCCCGTTAGATAATTTTGCAGAGATCTGAACAGGTAATAATCAGAGTGTGCAATGTCAGGTGAATACGGGGGTGACTAAGGATTTCCCATCCTAACGCATTCAGTTTTTGTAGTGTCACCACTGCAGTATGCGGGCGAGCATTATCGTGATGGAACACTATTCCTTTTCTGGACGCTAATGCTGGCCTTTCTTCTTCGATAGCTGCATTCAATTTATCCAGCTGATTGCAGTACAGATCCGCGTTGATGTTTTTTCCCTGTTTCAGCAACTTGTAATACACTGGACCTTTCCTGTCCCACCACAAACAAAGCAGTACTTTTCGTTGATGGATACTTGGTTTTGGAACTGTTGCTGATGATGTTCCTGGTTTGCAGTAAGATTTTTTTCTTTTAATATTCTCGTAAAGAATCCACTTTTCATCTCCAGTAACCAGCCTGTCCAAAAACGGCTCCACATTGTGTCTAATCAGATGTGATGAACATATTCTTACACGATCAGACAAATTCTTTTCCGTTAATTCATGTGGAACCCAAACACTTTGCTTTAACACAAACCCAAGAGATTTAATGTGATCTCCAACAGTTGTATGATGATGAATGCCAAACTCTTCTGCAATTTCTCGACTTGTTAAATGTGGATTATTTTCCAACATGGATCGCAAAACATCATTATCGATCTTGGATGGTCGTCCAGATCGAACACTTTCTTTGAGGCTCAGGTCCCCGGAACGAAATTTGCTAAACCATCTTTGACAAGTACGAACATTTACAATATCTTTTCCAAATACCGCACATAAATTTTTACATGCAACAGATGCGTTGCTTCCTTTTTGGAATTCATATAAAATGCAGTGTAATAAATGCACTTTATCTGCGGACATGTTTTTCCCTTTAAATATTACAAGTAAATGATGAATGGTAAAAAAGGGCACCTTTTATATTATACAGCAGCTAAAAAAACAAACAAAAAAAATCCGATTGACTCACTAGCCAGATGTTTTTTTTTTTATTTACAAGAAAAATCACCTGCCTATTTAAAATACAACAGAACTTTCCCTCCAACCCCATAATATAATATAATTAATTGTCATTTATATGCGGAGATGTCTGAATAAATGCAAAAAACCATCTGAATAAATCTTAGCCAACACTATTCAGATAGTATTCTTGTTTTCAAGGTATATAATTTTTATTTTGTTCTTTTTCCATTAAAGGAGCTAACCTAAGAGACTTATTTCATTTATATATATCTCATTGATATATTATAAATATAGCTTAAACATGTTTTATGTGCATACTCAAAGGGGTGGGAAGTAAGCCTTGATTCAAAATCTGTTTTAAAGCAATAAGTAAATAAATAAAATACACTGGTTCTATTAGAATGTCAAAAAATACTGTTATGTATTCTATAAACAAATCCAAATTATCACATCATATTACATAACCCTGGTACAAAAGAAGAAATGTCGGATTAGGAACATACTCTATTTATTTGGTAACAAAGAAGAGTAAAACATATGCAACATCACATTATAAAAAATCCTGCAAGCCATTACAATACTATAAGACATTGATTAGTAAGGTAAACATCAGATCATTCTTTCACAACAGCAATAAATGTTTCATTCAAAATTCCTAATAACATGCCAAAACAGATTCACAATTGATGCCTCATTTAAGGTCACACAAAAGTAAATCCGATTTAGCTGACTATGAGATCTTCTATTGTAGAGGACTTTGTAAGGAGAACTGGCTTGTACTCACATTACACATGGGGAAAACCCACAAAAAAACCAACCATGCAGCCAGCCTGTTCGGAAATAGAACAGAAGATGGAACTCCCAGCATTAAGTAACTTTAACCATTCAGCTGTTGGTGGGCCTAGTTATTATTCGAAGAGACAAGCAGCAATTTTTCAGTGACAACTACTCTACTTTTTTACAGACAGAACTGAACAGCAAAAACTTCTTAAACTCTTGATTAGATTCTAATTTACTTTCTTCCTTTTAAAAGCAGGAGATGCAAAACTTTGCCGCTGCTGCCTTTTATTTTGAAGAAGCTTCTTGAGACCAATTCCACGGGCAGTCAAATAATATTTTATTATCTTTATTTTGATATTGCAACAGGAGGGAATATTTACCTCGCCTGCTTTCTTACAAATCATATTAACAAATTCCACATCCATAATTACATTTCCATGTATTATTTCGTTTCGAAAATTTTGAATTATTTTTTCACACAGAAGGCACAATTTAAAAATTTCTGGAGAAGGACATTTAAGCCCACCTAAATTTGCAAAATTAATTATGTACTGCTTATTTTCATCAATGGAAGGAGTATTTTGCTCACAAACTAAGAGAAACTGTGAGCATGAATTACAAGCATTTTTCAAAACAGAATTTATTGCAGCTCCTGCAATATAACAGACGTTATTTTCCTCACTAAGGGTGAGATTCTGTAGAGATACGTCAGAAACTTCTGGTATGGTAACAGGCTCTAAAGCTTTTTTCTCCTTCGGAAATTCAAATTCATCTTTCGCATAGTTTAATAAATAAATATCTGAATCAGTAGCATAACTGGAGTTCTTAATGTGAGATATAAACTGAGATAAACAGATAAGCTTTAATGCTTTCACAGCTTGCAAAGCACTTGGCCTCAAACCAGCTTTTCTGCGTATCTGAGAAAATACATTTTCTAGAGCATCTTGTGTCAATCTGCTGGTCAAAATAAACTGAAAATCATTCAGAAAACAGGCCTCTGAAATGAGCATATCTTCAGAATTCCCGATTCATTGTCTCACGCGCTGGAGATAAAAGTGTCTTTTCTGTAAAACATTGCCATTGCTCGCTTTGAAATCCTCAAGTTTGTTAATCAAAAATTCGTTAAAGTTTTACAACATGTAAAATCTATATTAAAACAAATTCCGAATTTCAAATTTGGTCTTCCAGATGTCCATATTCACAGTAGAATTAAGTCATTCAAAATTTGATGGCTCTAGGTATCGTTGTTTTATCAGAATGCGAAAAACATACATGCATTTATGCAGATTCTTCACTATATAATTTCTTTAAATATAGTACAGGATGATAATATTTGATGGCAACAATTTGAAAAGTGATGCAGCCGTTTATAGTGTTTCAATACAAAACGAAAACAATGGTCCTTCAGGGACAAAGCCCCTTTGGATTAAATGCCAAACTTAAACAGATAATAAATCCACAAAATAAAAATGAAACTTCCAGGTCTCTTTCCCTATACTGTGGTGGGTTTTTAAATTTGACTCTATTGTTTTCAGCATTTTCTAGATTATTTTTATTTTATTTTCTAATATTTAAAATTTATTTCACTTAAAAATAGATTTTTAAAATTTATTTCCAGCTTTTCAAGGGATCAATTATCTCCATAATCATGAGCAATTTAATAACACAAATTATCAACTTATATCACAGCCTTCACAAATGCTGATGAAATTAATTAAAATTAATTACAATTTGGTTGCAAGATGAGACTAAAGGTTGTTTTTTTTTTTTGCAACTATTGATGAAATTAATTACATTCCTTTTACCAAAAAATTACTTTATAGAACATTTTAAATGTATATTAGGAAGCAATTTAATTATACATTAGTTATCAACTTACATCAGAGCCTTCACAAATAGATGGTATTTCATTGCAAAATGAGGCTAAAGGCTGTTCTTGCAAACAAACCTGAAATGTACACAAAGAATTTGTAAATGCTGATGAAATTAATTACATTCCTTTCCCCCCCCCCCCCCAAAAAAAAAGTTTATAGAAACGTTTTGTATAAGCAAGCAATTTAATAATACACTAATTATCTACTTACATGAGATCCTTCACAAATAGATGGCATTTTATCACAAGATGAAGTTGAAGCTTGTTCTTGCAAACAAACCTGAAATATATACATAAGAAATTTAGAAATACAGATAATATAAACTAAACTACATTCATTTTAAGAAATAATTATTTTACATAACATTTTATAATTCATAAATAGCTAATAAATTGTTAACACTCAAAATTCAAAAATAATTCCATAGCACAACAGCCAGATATAGTACAGCTGTTTAGGAACCATAAGACAAACAATTTCATATTTCAGAAATCGTATAAAAATTCATCAATATATGTAAAACATATGACATTTAATAGCTGCTCAAATGAAAACATAGCATAGATTCTTTACTAGCAGCTGTTATTTAATCAGATGGTAATGCTAAATGTTGTTGCAAACACACCTGATATGTACTGTAATGTACACATTTGCAACCACTGGTGAAATGAAACAAAGTGCATGATTATGAAGATGGAAACATTTAAAAAAACATAGTACAGTTTACGAATAGATGTTAAAAAACTATTAAAATTTTTTAGAAGTGCAAAATGGCAATTTACATCAAATACTTCAGCAGCAAAATTTATTTCTCCAAAATATGAAGCTGAAGGTTGTGGCAAATGAATCTAAAAGAAATTATAATATATGAAATATGTGGAAGTGAAAGAAATTATAAACTCTGATCGGATAAAAATAAATACAAATAATCATTACCATTTTAAAAGTAACTTTCAACTTATAAAAAAGCATAAATACATTGGACTGTTCATAGCATTCATACTTCTTAAACATAAGTAAATATTACGTTAACATATTTTTAAATTTTAGAAACAGTGTTAATACTTTTTAGAAAAAGTTTATAATACTAAATATTTAATAACTGTTCAAATGAAGACTTACAACAGATGGTTCAGCAACAGAAATTGCTTCAGTTGATAAAGGTAAACTGTGCAGCAAGCCACCCTGAAGATGCAAAAATTATGAAACACATATAAGTAAGGATACCTGAAAATGCTGATAAATAAAATATACTTAATGTAATTTTAATAATAAATAATATAAATAATCCTAATAAGTTTTGTAAATTTTTAAACAAAAAATAACAACATTCAGACAAGACATTTAAGACATTAAAATATACATTTAAATCAATGTATTATAACTATATTATTGTATTACTCAAGATTAAAGTTATTAATTTCAATATTATTTCTTTTACTTATACATATTTCTCTCTATTTATCTGGAATACATATTTCTCTCTATTTATCTGGAATTTAAAATTAAGCAAAAAAGCAACTTTAATTTAATATAAATTTTGATTTAAACTCTTTTGACTTTGAAGGCAATCAGATACAGGTTTCTTTCTTTTAGGAGCAAATTTGAAGAAACCAGACCCATGTATGACTGTCCTTGAAAAACTACATCAAATTGAGGTTTTATGCCTAATTTTCAATATATGATTATAATAATGAAGTACATACTTAATTATATATATAACAACAGCAAAATTTTAATTTTTTAATCTAATCTTAGGGACTGTAATTACAGCTTTATCACATAATGCCTTAATTTCAATATATTGATTCTTTTATAAAGCAATTTAGTCCATTTGTAATAAAAACATATTTTTTTATGAAAACCATAAAAATAAAAAACACATACATTACAAAAATTGGATGTAACTGAACGGTGCTTTGGTAAACCAATGCCTTTTAGATGCTGTGGGGGTCAACAGTTGTGGGGGGATTAGGCACATTGAAAAGAGTTGGCACAGCATTGGGCTTGAGTTTTTTACGCCCATCTTGCCTAGAGCATTCAAATTGATTTTCTTCAAAATGTACCTGTATATTTAACAAAAGCATGCATGAAATTTAACATTAAAATCAAAAGCACTAGTATTTAATTACAGTTACATATATTATATTAATTTAAGAATGTAATTTTCTGATAAATTTAATTTTTTTTATGAAAATAGAACAAAATTTTTAAAAAGTAATCATGTTTGTAAAACTACTTAAAACATATTTCCTGCTCACACACTAAAAATAAAGGACCTATAGTTAAAAATACATTAAGATTTACTACTACAATAAAGGATAATAATGGGATCAAAACGATTCATCGAATATTTAAATTAATATTTAACTTCTTAAAAATGTCTAAAAATACAGAATATATTTATCTTACTATAAAGAAAAAACAAAATCATTTATTATTTGGATCATACCATCCAGTTTTTAACATTGGCGCCAAATATCCGATTTGGCGACAATACATCAGAATCAAAACATAGAATGCTACTTTAAATCACCAATCGTACAGTAAAATTAAAGAAAAGAAAAAGGCACATCAGATTTCTAACTGAGCACAAAGTTTACATGAAATGTATGATACAAATTTTACAAACGGTATAAACTTTTCACGATAACAAAAGAAACAACATGAAACAACGATATTTTACTGCACAAACACATACACATTCCGCAGTTGATTTTGTACTTATAAAATCAGTTGATCGTCAATAAGTGACAGTTAAATGAAAATACATATTTTAAAGTACCAAGAAGAGTAATTTTTCTAACATTCTATGGAAAAATACGAAGCTGAACTTACCTCACAAAGATACGCTCCTGGGCCCGGGATCCATTGATCTCGACGAGAATTAACTATCCATTTTCTTCGTCTTCTTCATTTCTAGGGAAACGAAACATCCTAAAGTTATTTTTAGACTGATTCCAACAATTTGGTGCAGCACAACCACCCATATTTCTGAAAATTAGGTCGGAATCGATCCACAAATATGTCAACAAATCAGTGCAAATCCAATAGCGAATACCAACAAGTTAGCTTCAAAATGGATGATGATTCAGCTCCCCTTTATAGTAGCCTTATCCCTGCGAAATGACTGCGAATGACTAAATGCCCGGATAGATTTTCAACAGGTTCAAAGTAGAAACGGAAGCGCTGACTCATCTCCCCTACGTTTCTACTCCGTCGAAGTGAGCGTTTACACTGTCAAAGTAATCGTAACGAGCGACTCGTTCCGAGCCGCTCTGACAGGTGTAAACTGACCTTAATATTCCAATCAAAGTAGATCTCATTCCATCGATGTAAAGCAAAGTTTCGTGATAAAAAAAAATCACATTTTTTAACGGCGGAAATTGAGTTAGCTGGTTATTCCAATATATTTTTGAAGAAGCACAAGGCGAATACTTATATCATCCGGAAAGTTCTAGCACGTGCACATGAAGTCTTTTCGAAGATTTTTAAATTGTAGAACATTATTCATTATCTACAGACGCTAGGTATATAGATCCTTTTAGTTGTATCTTCAGTTCCAATTTCTTTACTAGAAGGAATACCATATGGCTCTACATCCAGCAACGGAAATGGCAGACAAAAAGAGGAACGAAAAAGAACAAAAATGGCGCACACGTCAGCCGGGATGCAGCCAGAAGCCCGTCCTACACCTTCGGAGCCCAACAGCAGGAGGAGAAACCGGTTGTAGCCGTCAATTTTGCTCTGTCATTGAGAGGTCGCAGTGAACAGACTTGAAGTTGAATAAATGTGGAGGCTTGCCTGCACACAAATACAGTTGTTAATCACATTATAAGGTATTTCTCCCGCCTTCTTGGCATGCCTTCGTGGTGTGGTGGTCTGCACGCTGGGCGCGTATTCCAGAAGTCCGTGTTTCGATTGCTGACGAAGGCGTTGCTAATTTTTCATCTTTCCTGCTTAGAAAAATACTTAATGTCTCTACAGGGGCGCCCGAACTAAAAAGGTGTTGGAAGAGGATTCTGCACACCCAGGATTTGACGATTGGAGCCCCTGAAAACCAAGTCGCCCTTTAAAAGGGGGAGTATATAAGGTATTTCTTTCACCTTCTTGGCGTGCCTTCGTGATGTAGTGGTTAGCACACTGAGCAGGTATTTCAGAAGTCCGTTGTTCGATTCCCGGCGAAGGCTGTTGCTAATTTTTCAATTATCCTGCTTCCAAAAAATACTTAATGTCACTACAACCATTTGTGGATTTTATGGAATCTCAGTGTGTTCCCTATGTCCCATTCTTTCTCAATGTGAGTGATTTCAAACATAAGATTTCAACATGCACACAATAAAAATTGTTTAGTACATAGCACTAATGCTGTTATATGAAAAACTAAAGCAAAGTTTATACGAAATTCGGGGGGGGGGACTTTCATAGGGCAGTAAACTATGTAACACCACCTTCGACAAGTGACATTGTATTGCTTTCAGAGATTCTTTAAGGAATCTACCTGGTAATAACAAAGGAATTTTTTCAATTTGTCTGCAATCTGTGATTAAATTTTAATTTGGTAATGACAGAAGACTTTCATTGTATTCTGATAACATTAAAGAAGTCTGTTGTTCTTCATGGAATAGCATACAAAATCAAAACATTCATGTTACATCTGAAGGCATGATATACGCGCATCACAAAAGCAATTGTTAAAAGAGGCTGAATATTTTTAATTATAATTCTCTATTGCAGGGATTCTCAACCGGTGGTACGCAAGAGAAAAATAGGTGGTACGCAAAAAGCAAAGTATTTTTTAAATTCAAAAATTAAAACCCCTACATCCTATTTGAGTTTCTTTCTCTAACACTCGTAAATTTATGTGATCTGAGGTTTGTTCAGGAGTGGTGATGGTACTAGTACTTTTGTAGTGGTGGTACTAATATGTTTTCAATTTTTGTTTACATTGTATGCCTTAGTCAAAAGGTTGAGAGCCGCTGCTTTATTGGTACTACAGACTTGAGTCACAGAATATGGCAAAATTGCTATTTTTAATAGATATGTTTATACTCAATTAGGTTAAATTATTTGTATTGCATAGTGTACGAGAATTATCTGCACAAGGGTGTTCTTTTGTAGAGAATTTTCTTAAGTGGCTTATATTGCATTACACATGACCAAAATCACAAAAACTCTTATGCAGCAAGCCCATTCACAAAGATTTTAATCTGGATTAAAGCATCCATATTTAGGGATTTCGCCACTGGTGGCATGTTTGTTTATAGTATGGAAGATACAAGCATCCAAAGAATTTAGGTATGTTTGAGATTTCAATCTCCATACAGTATACTGATAATCAGGGTTAGGATAGATTAATATATTAAAGCAAAACACATGAGATTAATCTGCCTAGGAAGAAATATAGGAAGCCAGTTTATAGTATTTATATTTTATATGGGGAAGTGCATCCAAACATCATGCACCCAACCTTTTCAGTGGGATTTGAACACGAGTCAAACTGCCAATATTCAGCTTTCTTATTCACTTGCTCTCTGCTGGGATGCTTAGCAAAACTACGAAATTTCAAACTTTATATTTCAGCTTTTTATCAGACCTTGTATTTTTATCTTGCACTCTTGTAAGGCAATGACATTTTTGAATAAAGACTTATCAAAACTGTATCAATGTCCCTTTTTCAGCTGACCATTTCTTGTTAAAATATTCTACTTACTGAAGCATTTTTTTAAATTTTAATTGATGACTATTTAATTATAGAGATATAAAATATAAAAAGAACTGCCACCATCTTCTTCATTTAAACTTTTATATAATAAATTATACAAATAACAAAACAAAATAACATGATTTTTTAAACAATTCAAAATTAATTTTTAAGATATAAATACCAATGGAAGATTCATCAGTCCAAATTATTTCTTTCACGGTTGGAAAAAAAACTGAGTTTTTCAATTTTATACTTTATTCATAGACATGATTATTGAATTGATAAACAATTTAATTGTATTAAACTGTCACATATCTGTAACTTGATAAAAGTTTAGCACAAACTCAGTATGTATTTTAAAGTACTTGACATTTTCTGTTTCTTTCAGATTAAAAAAAAAAAAAACTTTGTTAAAAATGTGTAAGTTTATAGTAGAGTAGATCATAAACTGAAACCATAAAAACAAAACATTCAAAAAGGTGACATATTTTTTTCTTTAAATAACAATAAATTAAAATTGTTGAATAATATAAGGCTATTTCACAAAATACTTTATATGTAAGTGTATTGTACATTATTCATATCAATAATATAATTACCATGCATTAGTGACATCTGCCACAGTCAAAACATCAGATGGCCTCCAATATTGTAAATTGAGTCCTTTATGAAGGTACCCACAACATTATACTTGGAAAATAGAGGTGGTTAATTTTAACACCATATTTAATGGTGTTTAAATTAACCACCTCTATAAATATATAGATTATTGATTTCCTGAGAAGTTAAAATTCACTGTATTACCGTGACTGTTATTAGGTGATACTTTGATCCAATATGTATGCTGTCACATGCACTGAATGTGTACTCATAATTAAACAAGTTAATAATTATCACTGAATATCCAGTAATATTATTCCATTACTGTATATTACAGGTAACAACTGCTAATGCCTCGTTGAAACTTTCTAAATATTTTATGAAATTGATCTCAATTAGCTAAAATATTTTTCAAAATATAATTCACTTAATAAAACCACTGAAAAGTACAAGTTACAATCTGAATTCACTGGCGAAAAAATTGTGTCTTGTGGCTTTCTACATGTTTAATAATATTATAACATATTAATAATCCTTAAAAAAACCATTTAGCCAGATATTTATTTCATAACAGCCATCCCTTGAATGCTTTTGTGAGGTAAACATTCAACTTAATTTGAAAAGTAGGTTACTTTTTTAAAATTTTCTTTCCTATCTTGATATACCTTCTACAACAGGGAATTTAAACCAAGGGGAAATTCCACAACTTCAGGGTAAAGAACAAGGTCAGCCTTTTATTTATAAGTTAAGTATTATGACTTTTAAGTATTTACTTTTAGTTTATGAATATCAAAATCTACTTTAAGTTTTGGCACTTATCAACATTTTCTATACTTTTGTTGTTTAATTTATAAGACAAGTCGAAACATAGTCTAAATCTAAATAAATGTATGTGCATTTGTCAAGAGTTGGAAAAGGGAGGGGTAGGATTTTCTAGCAATGGCGAAAGAGATGCATGGGGCAGGAAAGGTTATTTTACTATTTTTAATACATCTGTGTTATAGTATTTATTATAACTAAAGCCATGCCTTTGAGATACTTTTATAACTGATGAATCAAAGTAATATCCTTTTAACCCATTAGCCGCTGGTGTTGCGTTGACGCAACGGTCAAAATAAATGCGTATATAAATATAATTACCTAAGATATTTTATACCAGCAGATAATTTTGCGTAGGGAATATTATGAAGATTATTTATGTAAAAAAACATTTGTCTTCAACAATCATTTTGTTTATAATAATTAATCTCATACTTTAAGCAAAATTTTCGACCACGTATTTTGTAAAATATTTACGAAAGAATCCCGTCTTTAGAGTGATCTATTTTTTAGTCAAGGTCACCGGTTATCAGAACATTACATCAGTCAGATGTTTATATTTGTGTTGGGAAGGAAGGGAAAACAGGTGTTGCGTTGACACAACGTCAGCAGGAAACGGGTAGTAGATCGAAAGGAATCGAAAGGAATGAGTTCCTTTCGATGTTCTGATTCATGTTATGGTTGTTTAAAAATGCCTAGAAGGAGGTATCTTACATTAGAAGAAGCCCTTCAAAGATTTTTTGATTAAGGCACAGATGATGATAATGTTAATAATGACCAGAATG